TTTTGATGATGTGCTTTGGAATTAGGCAGAACTGAGTTCAAATACTCACTGTTTCACGTACATTAGTGGGGTCGTTCCAGGCAGCATGGTACTCTACTCTACTCTACCTCACTTCTTCCAGCTGTATTATGGGCATCACCATGATCGCTGCTGCTTCATGAGAGTGTTATGAGGGTCAAATGAGAAACAATGACCTAATAGGGGCCAAAACGTTAAGTCAGTACCCAGAACAGAGTGAGAGATGAATAAATATTAGATGATACAGGGATGCCACTATATCACTGCATGGGTTAGAGTACATATAATTTATTTCAGTGAAACAAAAATAATGGGAAGGAGAACAGGGCTGGACTGTTGAATGCGGCTGTGCGGGGCGGGGTGCAGGCTGGGACGGCACGGGTGTGGAAGGCCAATGTGCAGCGCTCCACTCCCTGCTGAGGAAGAACGGGGCACTGTGGGGTGAAAAACAGCAAGTAGGAAGAACACAGTAAGTCCCATGCAAGGGTCTGTTGTGAGTCCAGTGAACGTTTCTGCGGTCGCCTTTTCTAGAACAGTTATTTGTGGAGGACTGTCTTCTTGGTTGCCAGAATCCAGTAATGTAACACACACATGCTTATGCCTGACTTCACCAGTCTTTGGCTCAGAGGCTTTCCAGGAGTATGGAAAATTAAGTGAATTCTCATATCCATCAGAGACCACCAGAAGCACTCAGAGAATCTTAAATCAGAAGCAGAAATGAACCAGTTCACTGGTATCTGGAATTTTCTTTTAAAAAGTTGCCCTCTCTGGCTTTGCAGCTGGGACTTCAATATTTTATTCAATGACTACTTGACATGACATATTTCAGAACTGACAGCTGTTCAGATGAATTAGTCATGTCTTGATGAGTCAGTTGCACACGGGCCTTTTGTTTCCTGAAAACGTAACCTCTTTCCCCAGTGTTGGCCTGTCTCCAAAACCACTTCCTTCCACAATAGTGACATTTCTCTGCACAGGTACATGTGTTCAAAAAAAAGGACCTCAAGCCAATCTCTCAAATTAGAGGCTCTCCAAATACCAGAGCTGGAAGATCCCGAGAGGACTCTCACTGAAGAGACGAGAAAACCAGAGACAAAGAGACACTTGGCTGAAGTCACATAGCAAATTGTCAGCAGCACTAGAACTAACATCCTGGCTTTGGAACAGCTAATTCCATTTCCATTTACTACTCCACAAGGGTTCTCAACTTCCCTGCGGTAATTCCAAGGCAGGGAGCACATTTTCCCAATATGTCTCACTAATCAAAGAAAGTTAAGAACACTGTATTTCAAACACTTGAATAACAAACCTCATGACATTAGAAAGAGAATGTTAAGTGGTGAAATCACAATGCAAACGACAAGACTTGATTGGAGCAGATGTGAAGTAGACAGGGCTAGCCAGGGTGGATCTAACTGCCTAACATCTCCAAAAGCATCCACGTCAGCTCATGTGTGGCCCCCAGGGACCCATCACATACCGTGATGATATGGACAATGGTTGACAAGGGCCCAAACCAGAAACCATCCTTCAGGATTTCTGAACATGGTACCCAATGGGAAATAAAGCATACAGAAGATGTGGCATTTCAACTTTTAAAAAAAGAAAATTGTAAAAAGATTTGTGTACGGATTTTGCTTTCAACAGTTCTGACCTTTTTTATCTATTATACTTCTGGTTCCTAGCAAGCCAGAAATATAATCACACCATCCTGACATTGTCCCAGGAAAAGCTGTGCAAAAGAATAACCTGCTCATCCACTGTAACAACCAGTTCTTTTCCTTTCCCGCCATCTTGAGGGTATCACTTCAGGGCTACATTGCTCTGAATTTCAACCAGGAATCTTTGAAAAATGGTGGTATTTTTTGGCCATTGGGAAAGTAGCCTGATTTCCTGGCCTGTATAATCTTTAGCCTGGGGTGTTTTGAATCAAGTTCAAATGGAGCTTGGCTTCACCCTGGGGCCTATGGCAGAGAGACTGAGCTCTATACCAGACAGGGAGCTCTATTCCCACCTACAAGGGACCCAAGGCAGGTTTCAAATTTCCTTGAGGCAAAGCACTAAGGCTTAGAATCAGGATAAAATCAAGGATCAAGGTTGCCCTTCTTTATCTGTTTGTGTGAAATGAATTTTCTTATACATGCTATTTACTTCTCACTCCCCTTGGGGGTTTCTAGGCACTAAAATATGATTTCATTTTGTGATCTATTTTTTTTCCCATTTAAAGCAATTCTTCTTAATCCTGACCATGCAGAAGAATTACTTGGAGCACTCTTTAAAAACCAAATGACTGGGCTCCCCACCTGGGTTACTGAATCCAAATTTCCTGGACTGGGGCCCAGGAATATGTATTTTAAAAGCTTCCCAGATGACTGTAATGCCCAGAATTTAATAGTTCAGTTACATATTTCCTTCCTCCTTTCTCTCCCTCCCTTTTTGTGAGCTGACCTCCAGATGTAAGAGCTGTTTATAATAGTTCAGGAAAAGAGAAACATTCTCAGTTCCAAACTACTAACAATTTACAATTAACATTTTGGAAGAAAACTTGCCTGTAAACCTGAAACTTCTTGTGTGGCTGCTGGCACCATAAAGAATCTTAGAATCAGAATTAAAAAGGTGGTTATGTTCTTTCTTCTTGCAGATATCTAGGGAAATAAACATAGGTCTAATTCTCATGCTTTATTTTAAGTATTTACGATATCCAGAATGGCCCAGGCATAAAAAATTAAGGCGTGACCTACATCCTATGCACACTCAAAGTTCTGAGTTAGGCTGCTATTATCTTTTCTTGTTCTAAACTAAATGACCCAAATTTTCCTTAATTTCCCTTGCAGGCATTCTCTCTGTTCTTTGAGTGCTATTCTTTATCCTCTCTTGCTCCTTCAGGTTCTTTGTGTCACTCTTGGTTCGCCGACAGGGGCTAAAATACAGTCAGGGTACAACCGCACTACTATACTTTATAGTTTGAAAAGAGTTCATATATCTCTTTAGGAGAGTCATAATTTGTTGCTGGGGAGGGACTTAGACTAGTGGGCCAAAATCTACAGATTTACAGATTAATATTGTGCTTCAAGGTTTCTTTTAGTTTCTTTATTCAGCGGTTCATCTGCATCTGATCTGGAGGCAGTTTCCAGATTCTTATTATATAAAGATCGGATTTGGAATTTGATCTCCACGTGCACAGTGCTGCCCCACCCCAAACCTGAGCCCCGGTTCTTGCTGTGAACAGACTGTGCCCAGGCCACCTGGCCCTTTCCACATTGGATTGGGGAGTAAACTTCCAGGCTTGCTCCGCCAGGTGGGAGCCCCCTGACGCACAGTACCCCCACCCCATTTCTTTCCTTCAGCAGATACCTACAGAGCATCGAATTGGCATCAGACCCATTTGCTGTGATGATGTAAAACCAGTAAGAAAGAGACGGGAAAATGACTGCCACTTTTAACAAGAGTAAAAACAAAGAGATCCTGTAGCATGTCAACTGTCACTGCAACAGAAAGCACCATGGATCTATCGTTACTTTGAGACTTAAAAAACAAACTTCCTATAAAACTATTTCTTAGAACTGCCTTTTCCTCTCCAATTTACTGTCAATATTTCCAGTAACCCTTGGCCCCTTCATCTTGTCTCAGAAGCTGAGCTACTTCTGAGAAGAAACCTCCAAGGCTCAGGACTCTGACATAGTTCATCCTACCTCTCACTTTCCTACGCTCCGGCCTTCCAACAGGGAGTCCTTTCCCTTCCTGGGGTTCTGGAGGTACCTGTCCTCACAAGCTTATGCCAGTATTTACAGCATTAAAATGTTCTTCCAGTTACACACACACACACACACACACACCACACACGGGTGGGTAAACATAGGTTTACAGTTGTAAGTACACAAAACGGAATTTATTCTTGCATTATTTATAATTATATTATTTTCCATACAAACAACTGTAAACCTACTTTTGCCCCGCCCCCCAGCATTTAGCAAAGTTTAGCCAAGCTGCTCTGAGAGCTCTGAAAAGGACGTCAGAGCCCAAGCAAAGGAGGGACACGGGCCTGCAGGGCTTTTCCCCTTTGGTGGCACTACTGGAGCCCCCAGGCACTCAGTCTTCATTCACCCTGAGGTACAAATGGCTGGGAGCAAGTGAGCTAAATACCCTTTGTATTTTAAAAGAGCTCATAATCTCAGGAGGAAGAGACGAAGCTCTCTCCAGGGCGAGACGTCAGGCCGAATTTGGTGACCTAGGGTGGAGGGGGAGAGTTGGTTCGAAGGCCTTCCACCACCTTCCTCCACCACCTCCTGTCTCCGGTGAGGCGTCCTGGGACCTGTCATGGCTACTGTTCCCAAGTGGGGCCTACGCTGTTGCTCCTGTGTGAGCCGGGTCAGCTCGTGGCCACAGGAAGGTCACTTATCTCTCAGACCGAAACGCTCAGCACCCGGTTGAGGCCCACAGAGGAAGCAACTTGCCCCCTTAGCAGGGAAAGTAGACTACACACAGTTAGTTTTTGGAGCACAGGCACAACGTAACCCACACGGGGGCCCTCGTTCAGAGCTCCTGCACTCTTCGTTTCCATCCCAAGACCTTTGGTTACAATTTTCCCACGTCAAATTGACCGAATGCAGCAAACTGAAAACAGACCCTTTATAGAGCAGCAATAACAGCTGACTGCCTGAGCCGAAGGAGGAAAAAGACGAAAGCTGATAGAAAACCCAAGAAGGGGCTATTAGTGAAGGGACAAGCTGCTTACAACACCTCAGTGGTCCCTGAAGACATCGCTGAACAGTATGAGAGCCCAATACAACAGTTATAACTCAGAGTAATAATTTTGGATTCTCTGGAAAAGTTTAACTGGTATCCATGTGCTCTGTTGAGGAAGCTAATTCTAAACCTCTGGATAAAGGGTGACGGCAGTGAGCATGGCCCCCTAGAGGACAGTAGCGGTTGCTGCACGGTCGCACCACAACCTGGGGGCTCTGGGCGGGGAAACCACCTACCTCTGAATGTTATCTTCAAGTTGTTTGACTCTGAATTCATCCTCTTCAGACTGCCGCCTCCTGGCTTCCTCCTCTTCTGCAGTTCCAGCAGGTATACCCTGCAGCAGCCATTTTTCCCGAAGCACTTTGGACTGTGGGAATGAAAGAGAACAGGCTGCATGATCCCTTTCAGCCCACGGCCTCCGCTCCATCCTCGGAGCCTCTGCCTTCGCTGGGCCCCTCGCCAGCATGCCCCTGAATGGCTGCCTTCACCTCCTCACTAACTTGGCTCCCTGCTTCCTTCCCACCCAGTCCCTGGAGAGGGGCTTATTTCTACCTTTTTTATTATTTAAAAAAAAAAAATTGGAAACAGAAAAACAGAGGAAGCTGTATAATGAAAGCCTGTGTAGCCTCATTTAGATTTAACAATTATAAACATTTTGCCACGTTTTTCTCATAAATTTTTTCACCAATGCATAATATAGTAAATAAAACATGATGATATTTCATGCATACATATCTCAGTACTAATTTCTTTTTTAAAAAGGACATTTTTCTAAGCAACTACAGTCACATAGTACAATTTCCTAAGATCACCTAATATTCAGTCCGTCTAAAAGCCTTCTTTTTAAGATTCATCTATGCCATGGCTCTTCTTAGAAACTCTTTAATGAGTCCCGCCCACCCTCAGCTGGGGTCGCCAGGTGGTACTGCAATCAGGCACCCCACCTGCGCCAGCGTCCTACTATGTCATGGAGAGAAAGGAAAAGTTTCCGGTCTGTTATTGGGAAGGAGTGATGGCTGCTTTGAGAAGGGAAATACACACAGCTCAAGAAAAAAGCATGTTGAAACTCCCTAAAATGAAGATCAAGACAAAGAAAGTAGGTAAAGTCATTTTTGAACTGGGTTTCCATTCCATGGACCCAAGATGGCAGATGGTAGCTACTGGATGTTGGCAGAGACTGGACATTGGGCACCAGGGCTGAGTGTCCCAGTGGACAGGTAGGTGGTCACGGGAATGGACCACTGTGAGGATGCACGGCCCGGTCTGCCAGACGCAGGGCATGAGACCAGTTCTTCCCAGCAACGACAGGAGTAACAGCTCTGAAGCCAGTCAGCACACAGCAGGCATGGAGTTCCTTGGCTCCCTGACAGCACCTCTGTTCAGAATCTTCTTTAACCTCCTTAGGCAGAGTGGAAGGAAAGGGAACTCTCTTAGTGACTAAGAGCCAGGTCATGCATAGCTCGGAGCCAATTAAATATCATTCACAGAAATGAGAGAGTGGGGTGTGTCTCTAAGATTACACATACAAAATTTCACACTCACTACAGTTCCCTTTATGTTGCTCTCATGAGCAGAAGATGAACAATTCCAGAGTTATGTGGGATTAAGGGCAACTTTATAATGAACCTATACAATGGGTTACTAAAAATTACTAATATTTAGTAATAGTGAATTGGAATTCACTAGTGGTTCTGATTCACCATCCTGCTGAGGAGCCCAGCAGCCATCCAGCACAGTGGAGACCCTGCCGATGCACATGAGCAAATTCCAGCAGCTGGAAATCCTGCCCTTGCAGAAGGACCCATTGTTAGCAATGCTTCCTCAGTGCGGTGTCCAGGGAGCCATAGTGTTCACTGGTGTTATTCTTGATTTCTTTTTTAAATTATAAATCATTGTGGGTGGAGGCCTGTTTGGTTACTCTTAGCATAGAAAAGCATATTTATAGCACTTGACCTATAGCTATCCATTAATTAAAGACCTGAGTCTGTTCACGTGGAACGCATTCCTAACTGCACTGCTAACATGTTTATTGGCAGGAACCAACTCCTCACTCCAATATGTTCAAACAGTTTCACACATCACTCACTGGCAACATATTGCCTGTAAGTGTATTATATATAAATAGTTGGAAAGTATAAAAAAGCACTTAAAAATTTACAGAGCATATTAAGTAATATAAAATCATACACAGAAACTCACAGTATAACCCGTTGACTTTGTTGCTCTCACTTATGGGCCGAATTGAGTCCCACCCCCGACATTCATAGGTTGAAGTCCTAACCCCTACTCGCCAAGAATGTAACTGTATTTGGAAAGATGGCCTTTCAGATTAGAAGAGATCATCGGGATGTGCCCTAATCCAATAAAATTGGTGTCCTTACAAGAAGGGGGTTCAGGACACAGACATGCACACAGAGCAGACCATGTAAAGACCCCTGGAAGAAGATAGCCATCGGCAAGCCAAGGAGAGAATATTAAAGGAAACTAACCCTGCTGACGCCTCGATCTTGGACTTCCAGCCTCCAGATTTATGAGAAAATAAATTTCTGTCGTTTAAGCCACCCAGTCTATGGTATTTATTGTGATAGCCCTAGCAATGACTACATTCTCTAAGGCTTTATCACTTTCCATGGGAAAACGGGATTGGGTGTGATAAATTAGAAGGTCTTCCAAACTGGACTACAGAAGAAAGAAAATATTCAGAACCACTGCTCTCCACTGAAGCTACTCAAAATCCTCCAGAGAGAGCACACTCACATACTACAGGAGGGCATGTTGAACAGCAGTTAACAGCCTGGATTCTGGAGCCAGTCTGCCACTTATTAGCTGTGTGGCCTTGGACAGGCTCCTCAGCCTCACGGAGCCTCAGCTTTCTCATCTGTGAAATGGACATGACAACAAGTGCCCGCTGTGGGCTTGTTAGGAGGATTAAATGAGTTTACGCACTGAACGTTCCGGGCCCACAGTTAGTCCTAGAGAAGTGTTTATTTCATTGTTCATCCTGCTCCCTTGGCCTCTCCCATTTGCACCTGAGAAAGAGCAGGTCAAGTGCTGCCTGAGAAGCCTTCTTCCACTTCGGCTGGCAGGGTCAGCGCCTCTCTGCTATGTCTCCTTGGGCAGAGAATATACTTTAGAGCAGGGGTCCCCAACCCCTGGGCCACAGACTGCTACTGGTCCGTGGCCTGTCGGAAGCCGGGCCCCACAGCAGGAGGTAAGCGGAGGGCGAGTGATGGGAGCTTTGCTAGCACTGCCGCCTGAGCTCCCCATCCAGTCCATGGAAACACTGTCTTCCATGAAACCAGTTCCTGGTGCCAAAAGGTTGGGGTCCATTGCTCTAGAGCATTTCCATACTGTCCTCAAATTATTTCTTTTTTCTCTCTTTTTAGATCTTCCCCATCCTAGACTTCCAGCTCCTCAAAGGCTGGGACTAGTCCTTATTCACCCAGAAAATCAATTAAATGGGTAAACTGGAGAATTACTAAATCTTTTTCACTCTAATTACTTGGAGAGGGCATTAACATAGTTCAACCCACACAAGGCAAACACCTTATTAGGACTTGGGGGAGACAGATATGCTGACAACCTTGGTCATGGTGTGGGGACCCTTCCGGAAAGGCAGGCCTTGACAGTCCCAGCTTTCTATGCCCAGCCAGGGAGGCTCTGAAACCAGGGCTTCTTGAAATGCAAGAAAGCGCTGCCCTTGGGAATGCTGTCTGTCCTTGCTCTCTTCCATCCCAGGAAGGGCTAACCCCCTCCTTCTGGCTGAGTTAGTCCCAGCCACCAGTCCGTACCTGTGACAAAAGCAACCCATGACCATGAATGCAAGAAGCCCATGTGCTCCCAGATCTGTCCCTTCTCTGGACATGGCGGTGACATCTCGCAAACATCCCCCACAGTAGGAGCCAGGAAGCAGGGGCGGGGGGCGGGGGCATCTAACAGAACAAGACAGTAGGCCTGGTCTCAGGGAAGTCTATTCCACAGAGGTGTTCTGACATTACAAAAACAAAAAGCAGAGTGGATTTTTTCACCTCGCTCCAAAGTAGCACTGTCAGGGGAAACCACCAAGTCAAATACATTTACCTCCAAAGGCTTCCTTAACCCACCATAGAGCCCCTCAACTTGCCTCTGATGGCCGACTGCGTGGGAAGGTCTCTCCGAGTACTTGAACATTTGAGCTGAGACCTGAGATAACGCACTTGTGCATTCCGATCACGCACACCCATCAAAGCACTTGCTCCCCTTTTCTGTTCTGGCTTTCACTGGCTGCATGAGGATCTCTGAATTAGGTAGCAAGGAAAGATCAGCAGAAGGGAAGACTAAAAAGAAAAAGGTTATTTACTGCCCTTACTGTCCAAATAACACACATCAAAAATGTATCATAGCCTACAGGTGCTAAGAACTGTCAAAAATTCCCATTTATCAAGTGGATGCCACTTTGAAGCACCAAGGCAAGGGAAGAGCAGACGGAGAGCTGGCAGTAAACAGACGGAGCCTTGACAGGGGTTCCTGAAAAGTAAACAGAGAGAACTCCTAACATAAATCTGGTCCTTACTCTATGGGGCCTGTCCAGCTTTGTAACTCAAAACAAGAACAGAGCCTCTCAAATGGCAGCGTGCCTACGGATCTGCAGGAGAGCTCGCTAAGACACCGATTCCAGGGTCCCGTTTCCAGAGACCTTGATGCTGTAAGTCTGGGGCAGGGCCTGGGGATCGGAATTTTAACAAGCTCCCAGGCGCTGCTGCTCTCGATGCTGCTGGTCCATGAACCACAACTTGAGTAAGCAAAGCATGAGGACCTGTGACTATCCAAATGCCTGAAGAATGTGCAAGCTTTTCCACTGGCTAGCCAAGTATACTAACCCAGAACGGGCCTCCTCATCCTCTTTTTGTCTTCCTCCACCCCCATATCAGGTGCAGCAGTGCCCCTATCCGTTCCCTATGGGTCAGACACTCTGCCAGGTCCTGAAGACACCACACAGGAAGACAGGCAAGTCCCTGCTCTCCCTGAGCCTTTGTCCCAGTAAACAAGGATGCAAGACAATTTCAGACTAGCAGACAGGCATGGCAGGAGGGAGGCAGGATGATGTGATAAACAGGGACCAAAGGAGGACACTTTAGATGGGAAAGGTGTCTCTGAGTATATGAACGTTTGAGCTGAAATCTGAATGCCCAGGGTAGGGCATGCCAGGTGGACAGACTAGCAAATGTAACAGCCCAGAAGTGGGAGTGAGTAGTGTGTTTGTGGACCAGAAAGAAACGCCCGGTGGCTAAACCATAATGAGTGGGGCTGGATCAGGAAGCACAGAACAGCTCAAGATGGAGAGGAAGGCAGGGGTCAGATCAGGTGGGATCCCGGAGCCTCGCTAAG